GATAATAATAATAATAATAATAAGACGAAATTAAACCGTGGAAAAATGATAAGAAAGAAGACAGTTTTCTTCGGACTGACCCCGTGAAAGCCTTACGTATATGCTAATGAGGATAAAAAGCCTGTAATCCAGGCATGGCACTGGGAAAATTTTTAAAGTGAAAGTAACTAGACCATTTCTTCAAAAATGCCCCCGGTTTAAAGAAAGTCAGTGTTTAACGTCTCATCCCGCTCGTCCGGAAGCGAAACTGAAGACAGCCAACACTCCTGATCGATGTAGCTGATGTGAATCAGCACTGCACGGAACTTAGGACAAGATTTAGAGGTCTAAAAGCTGCTCCTCCTTCCTTCACGTCTCATCCGCTTACTCATCTAAGCATCTCTGTGCTCCTTTCGTTATTCGCCCGTCTTTCTGCCCATATTTCCCAGAGCAGGTCTGAGCAACTGCAGACAGTTCGTGTTGAAGCACAGTCCCTTTACACACACCTTGCCGTTTTCACACATTTAATACTCATGTACATCTGTAGGCTTATCATGTGTGATGCGGCTTCTGACTTCGTAAAATTCACCGATGCATGTCCTAAATGTTTATGAAATGAGAAATAATTTTCGAATCATATTGATTTGGCGAGAATTGAGGTTCTCACGGCGAGTATAAACATCGTTATCTTCCTGATTGTTGTGCCGAGTAGTCTGGAAGACGTTTACCGACATTTCAGAGGTGCTTGCTGCCTTCATTATCAGGGTAATGAATCCCTCATGATGATGGGGGCAGTAAGCACCTCTGCAACTTCGGTAAACGTCTACTAGGCTACGCGGCACAACAAACCAGGAGGCAATCATCATCAGATTTATTTACAAGTTTTTTTTATTATTTAGTGTTCTGTCTGACGCTAGGTCCATATGAACAGGATCCTTCCCTCTTTTTCTCGGACTGGGCCCTGTTCATATACGTTCTTGGCAGATGATCCAGACGTGGTTTGCCATTGCCTTCTTCTGTGTTTGAATGGAGTAATTGTTGGGATGCCACGGAGGAAAACTCCGTGTTGCCTAGACCACGGCCTTGCCCAACACAAGTTATAAATTCGGGCACCACCGGGAATCGAACCCGAGACCCCAGGATTACAAGGCCAGCGTTCTAACCTCTAGACCTCCGTGGCACGGTTTTACCAGAATATACGGCTTAATAATCCAAAAGACAGCCATCTTCATCATGGATTTAATCACCTTATTGATAATTTGTGAATGTCAATTATCAAACTGCTCATGATCCCAAATATTGCGTATGATAATTACAGTGCACAGGATTTACAAATGCGACCTTTCTACTCTTTGGTCAAAAGTCCACTTTCTGAAGATGCAACTATACGCGTTTCAGAGATAATCAACACAAATACTACATTACGTGTAGTCGTAAATTCTATCGTTAACAAAAGTTCATGAAAAGTGGGCCCGAAACAAATGTCTTTGTGTGAGGAAGCAATGTGATATCGAGTGAAAGTAAAACAGCATTTCTCTCCTCATATGTGCTGGTATGATGAGGTTATGACGTGTTAACGCGTCTCGGCTACGAGACCCATGTTGAAAAACATACACGTGCAGTGGTGGCTGCTAATTACTGAGAGATTTGGCTGAATGACTCAAGTTCGACTAAACTTCCAATTGGTTGGCTTGATTCGAGAGGGAATAACATTTAAAATAGATACGTGACTTTGAAATTGTTCTAGAAACAATTTCTACTGAAGAAGAACGAATGTAGTAGCTACTAGAGCGGAATTTCGTTGTTAACTCTGCATTATATTGGCTGAGTAAAATATGTTTAGGTAACAACAGTGATGATAAAACTGTGTTAATTACTTGTAGGAGGATATGCTTTGGCTGGGAATGTATCGATCATTGAGAAACAATTCGTTTTTGGTAGAGAATTCTCTAGCAAAGGAAATACAGTGACGAACAAGAACGTATAATGAATTACCTATTAAAACGAGAAGTGACTGAGTAAGAGCATTTATAAGAAACAGAGTGGAATCAAGCATATCTAATTAACAGATATAAAACCTGTGGCTTAGGACAGAAATATTGTTTCATCAAATTCGACATATCTTATCCATGAAAGTAGTTAGGCAAATTAAAATGCGACTGACTTCAGACTGTTATCGCTGTTCTGTGACGAAGCAAATGACTAATCGTATAACATTTGCCAGTGCCGAGAACTTGAGCACAGGCTTTTAAAAGCTCGTCCGAAAGTTGACGCTGAGTACGCGACTCGAAACTGCACATGAGACTTGAACTTAAACCAAGTTCTGAAGTGCAAGTTTCAAAGACCAGATTTATGAAACCGAAATATGAAATAATTGCATTATATTTGATTCTATGGAGCATAATACTTCTTGTCAAGCTGACAGATTCTAACCTTCTCAAATAATATTCCGTAATAGCATAGATCCGCTAGAAAACGAGAAATACCAGTTTAACCCAGTCTAAAGCCTCACACTCTATCCTGTACCTTTCTAATAAATTTTACGGATTAGTATTATTTTCATAACTATGCCTCAGTTCACCAGATGGTCTGGTATGTGTAAGATTTCCGATTAAAATTTTGTTTGTATATTGTATATAATTTACACCCGTGCTACATATCCTGATTTCATAATTCTTGATATAAGGCAATGGTAATTGTTTTAAAAAAAAACACAGATTATAAAGTTTGGTATTATATTATCTCTATTTCCAGATGTCTCCCATAAATTTAAATAACCTCCTCAGCTCTGCAGTTCTGAATAAGTGTTAATCTTCGTTCTTCTTTTAGGATGAGACACAACATTTCACTCCCGCATTAACATTAACATTATATTCCTTGTACTTATAAATTGTATGTAGTTTATTATTTGTGATTTATTATTTCCGATTTTTGATCGGATGTACTGACGAATCCGAGAATACTCGGTCTTCAGAACGAGATCTGAACCAGGGGTCTCCCGAATACGAAACTGCATAACTTAGGTACCATTCAGATTGATTCTTTCTATAGCAATATTATCGTTTTGCTCGTGTTAATGTTTAGGTATTTTGTTTGGAGATGCGAAGTTAAAATATGTTCTGAACTCAGATACTTGTAAGTCTGTTTCCAGTAGACGTGACTGTGAACCGAAGACAACAAAAAGAAGCTCTCTGGTTGCGTTAAAGTCCTTGGAGAGTTGTCGCTTTCCGTGTCACCGCCAAAGTCTATCAACAAATCGCTTTTTCTAACCTGAAATTCTTGCCGTGTGGACGAAGTTTACAAGAATTCAATCAAGGTTTTAAGAATTGAAATGTAAACAGTTTCAATACAGCTACGTATTTATAGCTTCAGCATTCTATATGCGAAACTTCAAATAAAAACACGGATTGTTTAAGAAAATAGGTATGTAAATAGTAAGGCGGTTTGCTGCTTCTTTGTCCGATTACTGTATTACGAAGGCATATCGGCAAGCAAACTTCCACGTATTGCTCTTCGGAGGGACTATGTGCGCAAATAGACTTATCCCTGGGTAAAGAAACACAACTGTCTATTAAATTATACGTAAGCACGATTAATACACCAGCATATATCGTCGTTTTAAACAAAAAATAAGTATTTCCCTCATTATACATAAATAACACATTCTTTTCATCTATTACCGTAGTTTATTCTATGCTTGCTAAGGACAGAGTCCGGTCGTGGGCATTTGTGACCACGGTGATGAACCACCCGGTTCCTTAAAGAAAGTGGGAAATTCATTGGCAAGCCGATTATACAATCTACTTCTCAATGCATATCCTGCACCATAAAGAGTGAGTGATTAACATAGTTTATTTCATGAGTTTTTTAATTCAAGGTAAGTTTGCGTGACGGTAAAATCGATAAATTTGAATTTATGAGCTTTCGTGACTAATTGTTCAGTAGAAATTGTGCTTCTCTACAAAAATGTCTTACACATTATAAAAATGGACTGAATTTGAACACTTCCATACTTAAGGAGCTTTATGGACCAAAATTCTTGTTGTGAAGATAATATTTACTCTTATATTAAGGAAATTCCTTGTCCTATGCGAAACCAAAAGGTTCACTACCGTGTTGACAAAATTCCGTCATCCGTCCTTATCCTGAGTCACATGATTCCATTCCATAACCTTCAACCCTATTTATTCAAGATACAGTTCATTTTTGCACTATCATCTACTCCCAGGTCTTCCACGTGGTGATGTCTCTTCAGGATTTATGATTAATTTTTCTCAACTGTCCCATGAGTGGTACATACCACACCTATCTTAGCCTCCTCGTGTTGATCTCCAAACAGTATTTGGCGATTGAAGATTGCAGGCCATTGAATTTCTTCATGAAGTTTTCTGTAACTTCATTACTCTCCGCAACACCCTCGATATGTTTTCTTCGCTAACTGTGAGCGAGATTTTCACAGCTATGAAAACAGCAAGTTAAATTATAATCACATTTTAAAAGTTCTGTGAAACGATCGAACGCCAAGAATTACATTTTGAACCGGAACTTATTAAACGGTATAGTCCACGATGATGCAGAGTGTATTTAATTATCTGAAGATCGTTCCGTTGGCAGGTTTGATATTAGCAGCGTTGAAGCACCGAATTCTACTTCCAGAGAGATAAATATATTGTCGCTTAATAGTGTTTGATGATAAACAATAATGAATTAGAAGGTAGTCTGTAACAGCTATAAGATATGATATACAATTTTAACAAAATTCGTATTCTGCGTCCATCCAACGAAATAATATAATAGAAGGAAGCGAACAGGTCCGTGGGGATTTATCGTCGAGTTGGAAGTTCAAATTTCGTTACAAATACAGTTTCTGGGACGAAATTTAATTTATTATCAAACACGTTTGTTATTGGATGCTCATTAAACTTGAGCATGCGTATGCCGTTATTAGAAAATGTTACCGGTCTGAGTGCACTCTGTCGGTGGAGTTCAGAAGTTTGTACTAACCTCGGTACTAACGAACTCAGCGCCCTGATCATTGTGTGGGGAGCGATATAAGTGGACGGTCGTGTTGCTGTGTAATGGCGGATAACTCATCATCTAACGGTGAAATTAAACTTAATACCGTAAGTAGTGGGGGAATAAACAGTTCAAGTGTAGGTGAATCAAATATAAACACACCTCAACAGGACTTCACTACTATGAAGAGTGCTACTAGTGAAATGGAAATGGAAGCGACCTCTGTTGGAGATAAAGCCGGTGATTATGTTCGTGAGCTGCTGCATGAAAAACAAAGCTTGGATTCGTCGCAGTGGCCTAATGCGCTGCGTCTTCTGGATCAAGGTACGGTAGATTTCAGCGAACTGACTTGTACGTAGGTGTTGAAGGAGCATGTGTAGTACAGTGTGACTAAATAGTTTCGGTGCAAGCTTTGATATGTACGTAACGCAACGAATGAGATTCGATATATATCGACGTGAGAACCGGCGTGAAGTTCACGTTGTTATTCTTCAGGCATTAACGGAGGTTGCGTTGTGTGACACCACGGTTTGTTATGATTTAATTGTACACATTAGATCTCGAAAGCCCGGTTGTAAGTAACGCGTAGTTGCTAAAGTATATCTCAGGTGTAACATATTTTACACTTGGGTTTGATTTATTTAGGTTAACCCTCCGAGCCGCAAGCTCTTATCTTGTGTGAAGTAACGTAGTTCAAATATTCCAGTGATGTATGCTATATTTTTATAATTGGTGCTGTTTTATTATGCAAAAGTAATATTAATCACAGATTTTACTAAATGTATCTAATAAAACCTCATTGCACTCGTCATAATTGTTACATTTTAGGATACATACTGGTGTTCAGTCTGCTTCCGAAAGTGGGAGCCGCGGTCTACATGTGCCGTCGTTTTCTTTTTTTGAGGGGGAATGTATTATATTTATAATACATATGACTTGATGAAAAGGACCACATTATAGTATAAACATATAATTTTGTAGAAAATTAACCTAATCGTTAGTAGTTTTTGTCAATGTAAAAGCCATTTTAAATAATTTTTGTATGTTGGGGCTTGAAACTTTCTGTTTGCATAAAGGGAACCTCAAACAGAAAAAGAGTTTGTGAACCACTGATTTAATTGACAAAAATAAATAGTACCAGTTTGACACATGAATGCTTTAACTAGATTTAAGGAACAATACATTTTCTGATAGAAACTAAATTTGGAACAGATCAGATAACTGAGTACTGTTGCCTTTTTGATAGTCCTTGTCTCCATTTTCAAGAGCATATTTTGTATTGTTATGGAGATTTAAGACGTTTAATCAGTCTTCATCACAACACCTTTCTGCATGCAACGATGCATTTAATTTATTCTTCTTCAGCGTTTGTCACACCAATGCCACTTATGCTTTAATCCAATTCGAAGAACAATACATTTTCTGTTATAAACTAAACTAGGAACAGGTTAGGTAAATTTTCAGTAATTGTTGTTTCCTTTATGCCAGTCAGAAAATGTATTGTCATTTGATCTTCAGTTTTAACAGTTCATCTATTTTGTAATGGAGATTTAGGATCTGTAATCAGTATCTTCACCACTAACTCCTTTCTTTTGATGATTTGTAGGATTTCATAGGTTACATTTAATTTCTTCTTCAACATTAATGACACCAGTGTTACTTCTGCAATTGATGACTGAAAGTCTTCGGTCCTGTTTGCTCGACAAAACTTCCTTAAGAATTTTGTTTCTAAGTAATTGCCCACACAGTTGCAATTTGTTTTGGCAGTTTGCGAGTAATTGGAAAAGATGCGAGAAACTTGTTTGTAGTCGTACTATGCCCCCTACTAGTATAAGCCTTGATAAAATCAAGTACTATGCTTTGACTCTGGTTTCTGTTATTCCAGTATATAATTTTAGTACTTTTATATAGAGTGCTCTTATATTATCACAAACTCAAGGTTTTATGCCTTGCGTAGGTTTAGATTTCTTATAAAATCCAAAGGGAAAGTTTCTGCAGATCAAAGCTAAATGTAAGTCAGTAGTCATTTTTTAAATTCAGACACAAATATGTTGGAACGTTTCATATTGCCCTCAGTCTTCATTGCTTCCATCTGCCATAACCTGGTCTACTTCTGTCTTCAAATAATAAGAACTGTAGAATGGAGTGGAATGTGTTTCATGACATAGTCTTGGCTTAGAAGGGTTGACAGCAGGCTGGTAGTCTACCCAAGAGCTCAGGAATGCTCAGTTTTTTGCCCATGAGCTTTGCTAGATGTTATATTCACTGCTGCACAGTATTAAGCTTGTGTCATGTCCTTCCATCTGCCTTCTTTGAACCACTCATCTCTGTTTTGCAAAGCAGTAATTGTGTAATAATCTTTGTTTTGTGTTATGTATATGTAGTATTTCTGGTGGCTTAGGCAGGAGAAGTAAATTATTTTTATGCAACTTATGCTATGATGTGTTCTGCACGGTATGTTTCTGCCTGTGTCTGATTCATATGTAAGGTTCAGAAGAAATATAAAACCGTTTTGATGTCTCTAGAAATGTGCAATTTGAGATGCGCCATAGTTGTCTGCGTTCTTACCGTCACTTGACTCAGCTTCTGAATGTGGATGTCGAGACATCGGCACATTCTTGCTCTACTGAAAAATTTCATCTTATTGTTCTCTATGTTGTAGCAGCTCTGTAGACTTTCTTTAATCACATTTATCATCAATTTCAGTATTGTCATGAAGTAGTTTACAGTATTTTTTTATCCTCATAGATGACACATCTGCATTATAGGCCAGAGGGAAGTTAACCAATTGTAGATATGACATTTGTATTATTTCATACGTTTTAAACATAGTTATTCAAATCAAATGAAACTGAAGCCTACACAGACAAGAGCATCACCAACTGTAAGACCCTTTCTACATAGGCTGTTATCAGAGGCTGGATGTGAGACCAAGAACAATATATCATCGCATGATTGTGTGTTTATGTTCATTGTAAAATTTTTTCTGGTGCTAGTTGAAAGATTGAAACGTTTGAGTTCAGTTGCTATTTTAAATTGGCAGGGTGTATGAGAACGGTGTCACATGAGAAAGATTGCAGCATTGTGAGAAATCTTCAGACTCATCGCCCTGATGACGGAGGCAGTATGACCTCTGAAACGTTGGTAAACATCTACCATACTACATTGCGAAACAACCCAGAAGACAAATCTTCATACTCACCGCTGTGGAAACCTCAAATCTTACCTTATATTCAATGTTTATTTGAAAAAAAATGTCATATTATTTGACAACTACAGGAGTCATGATTTACAACTGTAATGAAATTTGGCTTTTTATTGCAGTGTATGTATGTGTGGTAACACTACTTTCTTCGGAGGGGAAGCAAGGCCGGCGGTCCCATATCGTAGATTTACAACATGTAAAAGAACCTTGCGAGGTTAAAGAAATGTTTCATGAACAAAATTTAGCAGCCATGTTTCTCACCCATGTTTCCTCTGATTTGATACTAGATGGCTCTAGCAGACAAATCAGGATTGAGTAGAAATTGTATGGAGGCAGCAGGCTTGCCACCTGCAACCCTAAGTGACTGGGATGTGAGAAACAGCCAAAAGGCTGTAAACCACTCGCTATGATGATGGTGGTATTTATTTATTGATACTACATTAAAATTGTGAACTTGAAGTTACAGTGTTATTGTTGTGGTTGTTGATTGAAAATATGGCCTTAAATCTCTCTTCAGTTAAACCCAAATTTTGTAAATTTTTTGGCTGCAAAAATTGTTTTAGGCCTAAGCTGCTAAAAACATGTTTCTTACTTTGTTTGTTTGTTTTGAATACAGCTTTACAACTCATACATGGCGGATCCTGCGTGTGAAATTATGTATTATTATCGATATTTTTTCCTGAGAAGTGGAGTTTCAAAAGCACACATCACAAATGAGCATGTCCATGAAATGTGTGCTTTCATCTTTCTGTGCTGGCAACCAGATAGGATTATGTGCTTGATGGCTTTAATAAAGAACAGTTGAATCAGGTATGAGAATCAGTTGGATAATGGGGGGATTAAAATTCACAGTATGGGAAATTTTATATTTGTCTTTTGCAGCATTGATAGTGATATGGTTCAGAATTTGATTTTCTCAAAAGCTTTTAGTGTACATCAGACTCATCCAGTTTTCATGAGAATCAGACATTGTTTTAGACTATATGACTGAGTTATTTTTGTATTGGGATATCGTGTGCTTTTAGTACCTTGTATTATTTCACTGTGTTGTAAGTACAAATAAGTTGCATGGTGTTGGGTATTTATGTCTCGTTAAGTGTTAATTTTGTGATATGTCGTCTGGTCTGTGATGTTTTGCTGGAAATATTTCATTCTGCTTAATACTGTGTAGCATGGATCTTATTTGCGCTTGCTGTCCATCTTGAAACCGTGTTCATTTTGTATTTTTCCTATGTGAAGCTGCCTAGTGAGGATGGTGAAGATCATACATTTTTTGTTGAATGTTTTAAGTATGTTATCAAATCTGTACAGATGTATTAAATTCATCGAGATGCAAAATTTGATATTTTTTGTTTTGTGTAGAAGACTGGACTTCAGTTCTTTATTTCCTGTGTCATTTGTAACTCGTAGCTATGTTTTTCTTTTTTGCGTGTTAATTTTAAGGTTACCTACTTGTACAAAGTTCTGTCAATGTAAGAAGTGCCAAAAACTGTTTCAAATGACATTACGCAGTTTTTAATGTCAGCTTATTTGGCTTTTTATTCATGCATTTCTGATAAAAATTTAATTTTCTCTGAAGATGATAATTTTTTTATTGTTAAACTGGAAGTCAGCTGAATTTGGTATACGATACAGTTCCTAAGATTATTGATGAAATTACAGGCTCAGGTTCAGGCTTCTGCAGTCGCCAGTGATGGTGGGAAGCTGTTCACATTGTACACAATCAAATTATTCTTTTTATCAAGAATGTGGATTAAGCACCTGGCATCTTTTGCTACAAGGAATGTCAATGCTACTTCCATTTTTATGTCCAATGTATTTCTTGTAGTTTATTAATCATTCAAATATATTTTTTGATAAAGGTTACAGGTATTACAAATCAGTCTATCTATATTTTGTCAAGATATTTTTTTATGAAGTGTGGGATTTTTTGTTTGTTTATAAAGTTGTGTCTGTACTGGAATAATATGAACCAAAATTAAATATGCTTCACAGTTTTGAATCTCTTTGAAATCTGTTTAGGAGTTTTTTTTAAGTTATAACATGCAGACTTATGGTTGGACAGACATGAACTCTCTTCTGCATGCTGTTAACGTGTTTTGTCTATTATAGTGCGGTGGTTTTAGAATTGATGTGAAGATGTATATTAGTTGCCAGAACAGAACTTTAGTCTGTTGCGTGCTTACTTTTGATTGTAAAATGGATTACAACCTTGTGAGCATTGCAAACATTTTTACTGCCAGAATTTTTTTAGATTGAACCGTAGAATATCTTGGTTTATGGTAGTCTGAGGTAATTTAAATTTGTGGTAATTTCCACCAGCACCTTTTGCATTTACGTTTTTTCAACTTGGCTTTCCGTCAGTGTCTTGTTACATATAGGCCTGTAGATGTTACTAAGCTTGTTTATTATGACAAAGTTGAATGAGTTGCCTCTTTGTATTTACTGAACCCTGAGTTAAATCATGATGTTCATCAGGGATAATATGTGAAAGAAAAGGTATATTTCTACGTGCTCATGATTAGGGATGCAAGCATTTGTGGTTTGTTATGTTTCTTCTTCTGTGTTGAGCCCTCTAGCAGTCTACATCTTCATTGAAGTGCGAAACTTTATGTAGCACAGTCTTGTAGCCTTATGGTTGTTATTTGGTTTTATGTGATACCAGACGGTAAAATCTTGCATTTAGCTGTGGCTGTGCTTCGGACCGGTGATACGGAATGCTCGCTGGTTCGAGTCTCGGGGAAAGAAATTTTCTCATGAGCTTTCGACCAGTGTATGGGACCGGTGCCAACCCAGCATCGTGAGGAAATTGGGGAGCTACAATAAGTAGCGTAATCCGGTCAGGAAAGCTAGCAATGGCTGGGGGTTCGTCGTGCTGACCACACGTCATCCTATATCGTGTTGGATGATCGTTCACCTCTGCTTAGGCATGTGAACGTGAGGCCAGCAGCCAGCTAGTCGGCCTTGGCTCTCAGCGGGCTGTTACGCCACGGATTATTATTATATCGTAGTTACATAAAACATGTGAGTTAATTCTTTCTTTGTCGTAACATCTCTCGCAAGTCGATCTGTTTACGATTCCCAGTTTCAATAGATGTTTTTTTTGAATGACACATGCCTCGGCTGGTCTCTGTTTATTCTCAATAGTTTCCGAGTTCTTTTGACTGAGGTTTCTTGAAAGGAAACTTTTACGTGTTTTTGTCCAGGTGTGGACTTAGAGTATTCCTGGGCTTTTCTGTTCATCCATTTCCTGGTGGCCCAATTAGCTGCTCCTCTGAGTTGCAGGAAATCGACTGGACGATCGGACAGCTCAACTTTAGATCAACAAACATAATTTGATTTTTGTAACCTGGAAGATGCCAAAATTCAGATTGTTACTTTTGCTGACTAATGGACAGAAATTGAAACTGTCCTCATGAGAATTTATTTTTTAATAGCTCTTGTAATGAGAAAGGTTTTACTTCGTTGTTTCTTAATGAGTTACTTGCTTCAATAAAAGTTTTTGTTCCATCCGCGTGACAAGAAGAAGAAAGGGCTTTAAGTAAGAGGAAGGTGTGTTTTTGCCCAGTGAGCTCTATTTTTATTCAATTCTTAGCGTACAAGCATCTGTGCACATAAAGATAAGAGCGTCAGGTGTTCCACATTGAACACTTTCTGTTGAAAGACTTTTGCAATATTCATTTAATGTGCATTTGTGATGACAAATACAGAACACACTACGAAACTCATCTCTAATGGAAACAAGTCAACATATTTTGCTGTGGAGTACACTTAAAAAAACTTTTATTTTATTGCAATTTTTCATTGCATGGGGATGAATTTTTTTTCTCCCATTGAATTCAGACGAGTGGTCTGGTTGGTTTTAGGAGTGTGTCGAAACATGTTAGAAAATGTCATATTTGTTACATATTTTTAAGTTGGGACCCTTCAGCTGTGAGAGTTAACATGTTCACTAATTTTGAAATATATAATTTGAAAGTTTAGATTATATAATCCCATGAAAACGGATTTTGCCTTATTGTTGTAGATGAGTGAGATTTCTTTCGCGAGTTACTTTGGTGCATGTTCTCTTTGGAATTTTTTTTTTAGCATCTTCGTTCTTCAGTGAGGTATAATGTGGTTTTGCATATTAAGTTGGAGGTCTGTTGCATAGATGAGCAATGTTTTCACTCTGTTTTAGGTGTCATGGGAAATTTAGAACTTGGATGGAAGAATTTCCATAACATACTCTCATTTGAAAAATGTAATTCCATTATGAGAACCCTGTGCTAAGAAAGTTCTTTTTAGCTGTATTTGTTTTTCGTGTTTTACACCCTGCAGTCACACTGTGTTGCAAGTTAAAGATTAGAATGTTTTGTTTTTGTATTGCACAGTATTTGATAATTACTTTCATTTCATGTACTCTGAATGTATCTGAGGGTTAGCAAATCTTCCATTACGTATGCATTATTGTGTATGCGTTGGAAACTTGATCTGGCATCCTAAGAGATGGACACGTTCTGGGCACTAACCCGAGTCTCCACAGAGTGAAGCCGGCGACAGACCACCTCAGCTATGAAACGACCTCTCACCCTTAATTTAATATTATCTCTTACTTGTTATTGAATTAAAGTTCATTGTGTTCGTTTCATGAGATGTTTACATTCTCATTTATATTTCACAGTTTTAACCTCCCAAAAGTGGTAGTTGTCACAGCTCGTATATTGCCTGTCTCGTCTATGTGCTATGTGATTCTACCATCTAAGAATAATTTTTTTTTTAATTCATACTCCTAGCCGGCATTGAGAGTGCTTATGACTGAACGGCTGTCCATGAAATATTGTATATGCCTTATGTTTACGCAAAATTTGATGTTTACCTTCCAGTACATTCACCAGTTTGTGTGAATGCTATGAAGGCTACTGAAGTAGCCGAAACATGTAGACTGGATATTTGTGGTAAATAATTACATTACATTTTATACTATTAAGACATTACAAATTTAAATACATTTTCGGTACTACCCTCCATTTTGCTTAATTTCGTTTTTCTGGCTTTTCCTCTGTGTGCTGTTTGGAATGAAACGTAAGTTTGAGGGAAAATAACAGTTTCTCCGCGAACGTGTACCTGGAAATTGTGCGTTCATGAAAATAAATGACATTTTTAAGTATACGATTAGAAGTTCCAATTTTTAATGTTTCCTATTAATTTATTATATTTTAGCCCAGGATTGTGAAACCATTGAAATAAAGG